CCATCTGGCTTGGGGCCATGTATAGCAGAGAACAAAACATAGTTAATATTCATAAAAAGCTAGCATGACAAATTGATATGACAAGCATAAAGTAAAATAAGCCACACAACAAAAGATCAAAAATCAACTAAAATAAATTAAGTATCCTTTGTTTACTTTCAGACTCCAGGATAAAGTCCAAGAAACAATAGAAGGCCTTCGACTGGCAGGCATCAAAGTGTGGGTGCTGACGGGTGACAAGCAGGAAACGGCTGTCAGTGTCAGCTTGTCATGTGGCCACTTCCATAGAACTATGAATATCCTGGAACTTGTGCAGCACAAATCTGACAGTACATGTGCAGAGCAGCTGAGACAACTAGCCAGGAGGTAAAGCCACACATTTATGTCTGAATGCATAACACGAATGGCTCTTGACACAGAAGCCACCATTGTAAAAATAGGCCCAGTCACTTTGCATCTACTTCTTTGCCATGAAAATAAAATCCTCACCTGATGCTTATAAGCTTGTTGCCTCAAGAAGAAGATCAGCTTTGTTTGTCCATTGTTCCTCGTAGCATTTCTTTAATTTGTGTTCTTTGCAAAAGAGGCAAGGGTTTGTTTGCCAACAATATCTTCTCTCTCTCCCTCTTGTTAGAATAAAGGAGGACCACGTCATCCAGCATGGGCTGGTGGTGGACGGGACCAGCCTCTCCCTTGCACTCAGGCAGCATGAGAAGCTCTTCATGGAAGTCTGTAGAAACTGCTCTGCGGTGCTCTGTTGTCGCATGGCCCCTCTGCAGAAAGCAAAGGTAAATAGCTCACGGTTAAACAGTTGGAACGGCTGGGAAATTTGGCTGCTGTCAGTCACGGTGGTGGCTCTCAATGCTTCTGCTTTTAGGGAACATTTTTAAGTTTGACTGTTGTGCTGAGTAGTCCCTATCTGCCTGACTCAGGTACTATGATGCACATTTGTTGTCTCTCTCGCTATACAATGACAGCCTGTGTTAGACTGCCAGGACAAATCTTTTGCTAGATGGTGGTCAAATTGTCCTTCAAAGAAGAGTGTCTGTCTTTGGTGATCCTCTCGAAGTGAGTCTTAATAATATTCTAAGTAGCTAAAATTTCCATGAATATCAACCTAAATCCAGCTGATAAGCAAAGTAGACTCAATGCACCAGAGGGATTTATATAAGTCTTGAAGAGCCATTAAGTAAACAGAGGATACTTAATTTAATTAATTCACGGGTCCGACTGTAGTTAGGGCCAAAAATGGCATTTAGGCCATACTGATTCATTAACTGGAAATTAAGGCAGATTTCTGGCAGCGACAGAACTCATGCAGTTTTAATATATGCATATTTTAGACCTTTATTCCTTAGTTATATCTTATTATAAAACTTCTTTTGTTCAGACTAGAAAATACGATTGTTCTACCTATTAAGCTTTTTTATGGTCTTCTGTGTCTGAGAAATATAAGAATCATGTTGATTCCTGTTAAGTTTTTAAAAATTCTAATCCTTTTTTATTTTCTCTTGTAGGTTGTACGACTGCTGAAGACCTCCCCAGAGAAACCTATCACATTAGCTATTGGTGACGGGGCTAATGATGTTAGCATGATACAGGAAGCTCATGTTGGTATAGGTAAAGAAAAAAACCTTCTCATCATGCATCTGTATCTAGGTTCTTATTTCTGGTGTCTTTTTTTAAAACATTCGGCAAGCAGAATTACAAGAGAGATCATATACTTGAAGTCATTACCTGTGTGTGCTTTTTGAGTAATTAATGTAATGAATAAAATAGATTCTCGGCTTAAACATTCGGCAAGCAGAATTACCTGTGTGTGCTTTTTGAGTAATTAAAGTAATGAATAAAATAGATTCTCGACTTGTCAGCCAAGGATACCTCCTAACAAGGCTTAGTGTTAGAAACAAGTTAAGGATTTGATGGGGTAGAAATCAGGTGTTGGGTTTTTTTGTAACGTTAATTTGGTTATCGAAACTAGCCATTCTCAATGTTTTTGGCCATGATCATAAACATAATATGAAATAAATATAGGCCAAATCAGGAAGCATAAGTCAAACAGTGAACCTTATAAGATGGTTTGTGAATAATTGTTTCCAGTCTCTGGCTTTCTTCAAATGTGCCAGGGCATATGGGCTCCCGTTGAGAATGGGAGATTCTAAACCAGTTTCTAAGGTCTTGTCTCCAAAGAGATGGAGGAAGCTAACAGATGATGGAGATGTCAGCTTGCTGCAGCAGTCCTTCCACCGCTCTTCTGAGCTACTGGCATCAGAAGAGGAAACTGGGTGAACTTTAAAAATGCCTGTGTACACATACACCTACGTAACTCCTTCCTTGCTAGGTCATAGGAAAAGGCCACATAAATGGAGCAACCTTGCTATGTGCATATCTTAAGTGTGGTTTCAGTTCCTTTGAAATTGACTTGTATAGGATCACAGCACTTGTAGTGTATATACTTAAAGTTGGATAGATTTGATTCTAGAAGTTTCTTCTTAAAGTCAAATTAAAATGTTGTATCAGCCCAGCAAATGAATCCACAATTATTACTACCTAGAGGAATTTTGGTCTACATGTGCCTTTTTAAATCACTTCTGATTGTAATTTTAAAAATGGATAATATGTGTGTGTTTGTGTGTGTGTGTGTAAATTCTCCTCTTTGATCACCTTAGAGGCAGTTTTCAGACAAATACCTTTTCCTAGAAAACTGCACTAAATCAGGTATTGAATTTAACCTTGCAGTATGGAGGACTTAATAATTGACAAACTTGTTTTAACCTAACTACAGGATGAGTGGGCGTTACATGAATAAGCAATACTTTAAATGCTTCTAATCTTCCCTATGTCATGTGTTAACCCAACCTATATTCTTTTATTTCTGATTATGTGTTACTATGGGGGAAATTGGGGGTGCAGATACATCTCAATTTTTCTTTTGTCTCAGGTATCATGGGCAAAGAAGGAAGACAAGCTGTTAGAAACAGTGACTATGCAATAGCAAGGTTTAAATACCTTTCCAAGTTACTTTTTGTCCATGGCCATCTTTACTACATTAGGATAGCAACCCTTGTACAGTATTTTTTTTACAAGGTAAGTTTATTTCGATTGAAATTGAGAATCGCTATGGCAAGAAATGATTTATTTTCATAGTCTATTCTTCAAGTTAAATACAGTAGATGGTAGTGTGGGGGAAACACTTAAAACAGTATACTGTAAAGCACACACATCATTTCAGAATCTATTGCTAAAGATTGTATTTTACAGCACGTTTTGCCAGTGCTATGTATGTGGTTGATTTCAGCATGATACTCTGCTCTTAAACTTTCATAAGACAACATGCAGTTAAGGAACTTCTGTTTTACTGAGTTACACTAGCTCATTGTTTTCCAATCTAGTCTCTTGTGGTTTTGAAAAGTATAAGCACAAATGTAAAATTGCCATTAGGATCCAAGGCATAAAATGTCCAGACAAGCAAACCAATCCCTGGCTTACAAACCTATTTATAACCATTGTTTCATTTTCCACTTTTAAAGAAATATGGCTTCCTTTAATATGCATGCTGTAGAAGCAGTTGCTAACGAACAAGGAAGTGGAGAGAACAACCCAGAACGGGGAGTTGGGGAGCTCATAACCTGTGATTGCAAACTGGTATACAGTGATGCCGCGCAAGACGAAAATAATTCATTCCGCAAGTTGTTTTGTATTGTGAAAATTTTGTCTTGCGAAGCGCAGTTTCCCATAGAAATGCATTGAGATTTAATTAATGCGTTCCTATTCATCTTGTGAAGCACAGCCATAGAAAAATTTGTCTTGGGAGTCACCCCCCAAAAATCACAAAACGCTTTCATCTTGAGAGTTTTTCCTTGCGTGAGGCATTCATCTTGCGAGGCATAACTGTATAAGCTTATCATTTAGGTTTGAGACTCTGTATTGGACTAGAGTTTAATCCTTTTTCCTGTGGATTCCTAGTCAGAATAGTATTTGAGGTTTAAGTATAATGATGATAATGTTGCAGTATTCAACATTGTTTTCAGGATCTGATGTCCTATATTCCTAACTCTCATTTCTTGTTTTCCAGAATGTGTGCTTTATCACACCACAGTTTTTATATCAGTTCTTTTGTTTGTTTTCACAACAAGTAAGTAATTGGTGGAAATTCCTCCACCCATTGTGAGAATGTGAAAATGAAACACCCAGGAATAATATGGCCGGTGTAGCAGAGCTTTAAATAGCAGTTTGTAACACTGAGGCTAACCTTCAATAATACCTCAGTATTCCCTCTCCTCTTCTTTAGTCGAGTTACCTTTCAAGGTTCTGATATATAAAGCTGCCGGAATGTATATGAAAACTGTGTATATGAAATGTTCCATTTTCGTTGGGAAGTATTTTATTTTCAAAGTATAACAGAGATTAAAATAGCCTCGAGGGTTATTCAAGAACTGCACAGTACAGAATAAGACACACAGTTGAAGTGCTATCTATATTTAAGCAAGTTCACTGGTTACCAGTATTTTTGCTTTATCAAAAGTACTTGGGCAGTGCTAACACCTAAAAGGAAAGATAAGGTTGAGACTCAAGAATCCTCTAAAATATATAAGGATGTACAGGTTTTGCTTTACAGTTGAGGTGAGGTTCTCCAGTTATGGGATCCGGGAAGGGCTTTCTTCCAGATCCCATAAACATACAGTACAGTATATGAATATCAGTTGCTTGCTTTTCATTATCCTTTGCTTTCAGGCCCCAGGGGTATTTGCTCTTGTAAATGCTTTATTATTGGGAACTAATGTGAGATGGGAAATTTTCCATATCTTTTCCCATGGAAATGTTTCCATTTAAAAAAATCCCATAAAGTTCATTTTCCTCACCTCCAAGGATGATATGAGCTAAAAGACTTGCATTTGTAGAGTATGCTAATGTTCTTTAAAGTGTTACTTTACATGATTTTGCTTTCTGCAAAGAATCATTTTTTTGTTGCCTTTCCTTGTCCAGAGTACCATAAAATACTTTGCCCTCCAACAGGGAAAAGAGAATCATTTTGTAGTTCTTTATTCCAGTGACATAGCGTGGGGGGGGGGCACAGGGGCAGTTGCCCTGGGTGCAAAATTTCAAAAGGAAAAAAAAACAAAGCAGTAGTAATAAGTCCATACCACCACCACCAAAAAAGCACAGGGCTGGCATTTGGGATATTCTCAAGAACGAACAAAAGCATTTTATGCCAGCTGATAACTGAAATCAAAACAGCCATAAAGAAGAATCAGGGGAACAATAGACAATCTTCTCACCCCTTCTGTTTCTCTGTGCATGAAATTTCGATGACACTTCAGATTCTGCATGAACAGAATTCCCCTAAAGTCAAAGCAGGAATTAAGCTACACGTTCCTCTGATAAAATAGGATCAATTTAGGCACTTTACTAGAGTGGTGTTTTTTAAAGAAAGGGTCTAATCGATACTATATTTGCATGTTTATTTAAATATCTGTGTGCGGTTTCACATAGAGTTGTAGACATTTTTAAATGTTCTTTTTTCCCATTTTTATCGCTTGAAACTTCAGTTTACACAGGAGTACTTGTATTTATTTTGTATACATTTCCTTGCCTTTGATTGTCACAAATATATTGGGTTGTAACAGAGCTTGAATTACAAATGGCTCTTTGCTGATCACGCTGGATAGGGATCTTAACCTGTTTTTCTGCTTTTTTGTAATGTGCTAATTGCTTGTCTTCCTTTTTTTCTCCCCCCAGACTCTATATGACAGTGTTTACCTGACTTTGTACAACATTTGTTTCACCTCCCTGCCTGTCCTCATGTACAGTCTTTTTGAACAGCACATGCACCCTCATGTATTACATAGCAAGCCAACACTCTATCGGTAAGCATGTTCTGCTGGAGAAGGTTTATGTTTGGTAAATGACAGGTGGTACACTTCTTCACCGTAGCCTCTGCTGAATGAGAGAAAGGCAGGCAGCCGTTTTAGAAACCATTTTGCCAAAGCAGTAATGCTTAGTTTTCTAAACCCTATCAAGTTATTTGTTTCCATGTAGCAAACGTATGATTTTTAAAAAACCTGAAAATAATCCTAAGGTCAGTTAGCAGTACTTCAGTGGTAAAATACCGTTTTTGCTTTGGGTGTAGAAGATTCCAGGTTCAATCCTGCTGTTTCCCGTTCCGATATTTTTCCAATTCCGATATTTCTGTTTGCAAGGCAGCGGGAAGGAACCCTTGGAAATATGGAGAGCTTTTGCAAGGTGGAGCAGACAGCACTAGACTCAAAAGGCCAAGGGGAAGCATACAGAAAGTGAGTGTAGGGAACCCGTCGTCTGTGCATTGATTTCAAAACCCCACTGCAAGCAAGCGATTCAGATCTCTGGCCAAAGCACTTGTTACTTGACATGGAGGGAGTTAAAAAGGGTGTCCCAAACCCTCCTTGCCCAGCAACAGCATGTGACCCCCTAACCATGGGAGTTAGACACTTTAATTAAAAAATAAAATCTCTACTCTAGGATAAGGCAAGCATATTGTTGATAGGGTCCATTTTTCAGAGTCTTCATAAACCATAAACATGCTGTTCTCACAGGCTGCGACGTAGCATAGGGAAAACCTTGCTCTCTTTGTTATAGGCAGCCTTGAAACCCAAGATGCTTCTCATAGGGTGCCGTGGTTCCGAACACACCTTAAAATTGCCACAATGAACAGCTGGATGTTTCCCTTTTTCGGGAGGGAAATGAAATCTAGGTGTTTCTTTTCTGACAATTAAGACAGTACAGTTAGCGTAAATAAGAATTACGGCTTTTGTTAACTTAAAGAGTTTTTCAGAGAATGTCATCTAATTAGATTGAAGAGTGGGGTATTTAAATGGTGCGGTCCTACCAGATTCATCAGATCAGCCGGTAATAATTTGACTGAGGAATGCTGGTGGGAGGCTGGGGAAGAGAGTCATTACAGGGAACATGTGCCATTTTTATCCCATGCCCATCATGCCTTATACATTACAATAGATGTGCGGTCTGGCCCTACTGAACTTTCTGGCTCCACTGACCTTTGTAACATCGGCATTTGTTTCTCTGCATATTATATAGCAAGTGACTGAGAAGGTGGTTATTTTCAGTGCCAGGTTACCTAGCATTTTAGAAGTTACTCCGAGATACAATTACAGGAGAATGTTTCAGTGGAAAGGAATTAAAACAGAAATTAACTTGTTATCTGGAAAGTAGTGGTAATGTTGTTAAAGGTCTGACCTTTTCCTTTCCTCGCTTACAGAGATATCAGTAAAAATGCCCACTTGGGCTTTAAACCGTTCCTTTACTGGACCCTTCTGGGATTTATTCATGCCTTTGTGTTCTTCTTTGGCTCATATCTTCTGATGGGAGAAGACACGTCTTTGCTAGGAAATGGCCAGGTAAAATAAAACATAATTTTTTAAAAAAAACAGATTTAGAATTTTTGATTTAATGTTTGTTATTTCTGATAGGATAATTCTGCTGCACAGTCATTGTTTAGCATATTATAATCGGTGTTTCATGATACTAAAGATAAGTTCTTCTACAGCGTAGAAGTGAAATTGACCTCTTACGAAGTTACTGTAGTTGGTTCAGAATGCAGCTGCCAGGTTGATTTCTGGAGTGTAAGTTCAATCATATCTCTCCAGTCCTGGCTTGCCTGCATGGACTACATGTCCTTTTCAATGCCAGGTTCAAGGTTTCGGTCTTAACATAATAAAGCCCTTTATGGTTTGGGACCTGGATACCTCTTGAGTGTCTCTCCCTAAGCTCTACTGCTCATTCCACCTGTTCTTTCCAGTCTTGTTCTTGTGGGTGGCCACACTAGAGAGGCAAGCAAGTCGTCTTCTAGATACCAGCCTTCCTCAGTGACGGTGCCCTCACTTTGGAATGGTCTTTCGTCAGAGATATGTCAGTCTTCTCCTTCCAGACTTTCAAGAAATTACTTTTTAAAAAGCACGATCCGAAGAAGCCTTTAGGGATATTCTCTCCTTCAGGTAGCATTTTGGAGCCTTGGCTTAGTTTTATCATAGAGGGGAATTTCCATTACTTATAACTCATTTAGTTATTTAGATATCTGTTTGTGTTCGTTATTGGTTCGTTCCCCTTTTTACTTGGGTGGGTAGGGTTGCTTTGTGTAGGTTTGCGGTTTGGTTTGGTTTTGTCCGCCTGTCTGTTGCTTTACTGTATTTGCCATGGAGTCTCACTCTTACATCTGAGGAAGTGGACCTGTCCGTGAAAGCTCACATTAAAATATAAAAGTCTTTAAGGTGCCACGTTTTTGTCTTCTTTGTTCTTTATTTTTCTTTTGTTTTTGCCTGATATGCTGGCACGGACTAAAACCTCCAGCTCTTCTAAAACTAGAGACAATCAGCGTTTCCACTAAGTGGAGAATTCTGTGTTGACATCTAACCGAGAGGAATGATTCTGGGTTTGTGTTTGGATCAGACACCAGAAGAATCCTTTTTGGATCTGTAGGGAGTGGCCACCACCTTTTTAATTTTCAGAGTCCGCTGATATTTCCTGACTCATCCATAGGAAATTTCCACCCATTATTCCCAACAGAACTCCAGACATAACTTTTTCTTGCCAATTCCAGCACAGGCCTGTTACTGGAAAGCTGCTTGGCAGTGCCTCAATCCCACCGTTGCTCCGGTTATTATTTCTGCAGCCTATGGCATGGCCACGGCAGAGAAGGGCAGACTACCAGAGAATTACCCTTGGTTAATATATCAGGCTGCCAAGAACTGGAGGGTGCTTTTGGTCACACGTCAGATGTGGCAAGATAATTGTCTGGGCTCACAGTTGCAGGCTTTCTTCCACATTTTATAACATCCTTTTACTCATCTTAGGTTGCCTAGAAAACTTCCCAGTGGTGTGACACTATTAGTTTATGCTAGTTAAGAATGAAAGTTGTTGTATGTAACTGGGCCTGTGAAGGCTTTATAGCCATCTCCTATATAACACTGTCTCTACTTCGGTTCTGATCTTTTAGTTTCCTTTCCCCCTTTTTCATGCTGTGCATGTCGTCAGGTATTGAAACCTAACGGGCAAATGGTAAGAGTCTGTGTCGTAGGAAGAAAGATACGGAAACACCAGATACTATATTTTTGTATCTGTGTTTAAAGAATGCAGCATCCATTCTCCTTGAATATGTTTAAAAATAAATGGTGGCTGAGCACCTCATTTCAGGTGCATATTTGGCGCTTAGCCTCTTGCATATTTAGTGGAATTTGCTATGATAACTGTTTGACCTGTTAAAAAATGTGATGCTTAAGCCTATCTGGAATAGAAGAAGAATCTTCTGAACTCTGCAGCTTTAAGAGCTGCCTGCCTATACTGGCTTGAAACATGGAAAACATGAAACCAGGAGCAGAACATCTTAATGCGTGGTTGCTTCTCCCCCTCATCAACTATAACTTATTTAGATGTTTATAAGAATCCTACTCTCCTCCATGGAATAGTGTCCCTTTAATGATAACGTGGTGGCGCTGCGGGTTAAACCACAGAAGCCTCTGTGCTGCAAGGTCAGAAGACCAGCAGTCGTAAGATCGAATTCACACAACGGAGTGAGCTCCTGTCGCTTGTCCCAGCTCCTGCCAACCTAGCCGTTCGAAAGCATGTAAAAATGTGAGTCGATAAATAGGTACCACCACGGTGGGAAGGTAACGGCGTTCCTTGTCCAGTCGCACTGGCCACATGACCATGGAAACTGTCTAAGGACAAACACTGGCTCTATGGCTTGGAGACAGAGATGAACACCGCCCCGTAGAGTCGGATACGACTGGACTAAATGTCAAGGGGAACCTTTACCTTTACCTAATGATAACTAGTGGCTGTTACATATCCCAAACCTTCAGGAAGCTGGTACATTTTCCTGGTTGTTAGTTTTTTATAACAACCAGGAAAATATATACAGTGGTGCCTCACTTAACGATTACCTCGTTAAATGACAAAACCGCTTTACGATGAAGTTTTTGCAATCGCAATAGGGATCACGAAACGATGTTCCTATGAGGAAAATTCGGTTCCTTGCTTCGGGAACCGATTTTTCGCTAGATGACGATTCTAAAACAGCTGATTGGCGGCTCTAAAAATGGCCGCCCGCTATGCAAAATGGCTCCCCGCTGTTTTTAGCACAAATTCCTCGCTTTACAGGCACCGAAAATTGGCTGTCCTATGGAGGATCTTCGCAAAACGAGCAGGTCTTTCACCCATTAGAACGCATTGAACGGTTTTCAATGCATTTCAATGGGTTTTTTAATTCACTTGATGACGATTTCGCTTAACAGCGATTTGAACAGAACAGATTATCGTCATCAAGCGAGGCGCCACTGTATATATATATTTCCTTTAAATATTTACTAAGTTCATCTTTATGGTAAATAAGCAAGCAAAACAATAGTAATTTTAGAAACTTGTGAGTCTGATATCGTAAATAAAACGGAAGAAACTTTCCTTTTATTTTAAATATTTCAAGAAAGAGTACATTTTTGAGTCTTTATGATCAAGGAGGCAGCAGTTAAAAGGGTGTAGTTAAATTCATCTGGCAGAACATAGAGCAAATATCTTCTGTTTTTCAGTAATTCATAATAATCAGATTCAGAATTAATATGGCTTTAATAACTTTAATTTATGATGCTTAACAATTAAGATGCTGTAACATTAGTGTCTCTCTTGTTGACTATCTCAGTCTCTTTAGTCCATGCTGGTCTGTTGGGGTCTCTGTGTGTGTTTTTTTTCCTCAGGGAAATCTGAATAGTTCTCTTTAAAAAGAAACTTTTTAAAAAAGGTTGTATCACTGTCTTTTTGTATACCTTTAATTCTTGAAATAAAGTTTCTGTTCCTAAAGTTCTAAGTCTACCATTATTTTTTTAATTCCGGAGAATGTTCACACGATGCTGCATTGAAGGAAATACCATCTGCTCCCATAATTAGCGGCTAATTGCTTTCACACTGCAGTAGAATTTCTCATTAGCTGGATATTTATGCATAATGTTTGTTATTTCCTTGTAGTCTTGTTTTCTTTGGAACTTTAAATCGGTTCCTGTGAGCTTCTGGTAGTGTGTAGAGGAAGATAACTTGTCCAGTGGGAAAGTTTTGTAACTTGTGCCTTTTTCCCTGTTACAGTTTGCACTTTTTCCGTCTTGCTTTTTGAACTAGTAGTAAGCGGACAAGTGAATTTTCTGCCTTTCTGAGCTTCCTTCATCCTGTTCTGCATTGCTTATAGCTGCATTCGCTTTGCATACAAAGATAAGTAAACATCAACCTGATTAATTTTTGTTTTCTTTTTCAGATGTTTGGAAATTGGACCTTTGGTACTCTGGTCTTCACAGTTATGGTTATAACAGTTACAATGAAGGTACAGAAGTAGAACTGTATGATATTGTTATGTGCCCATATTTTAAATTATCATAGGTTACATTATTCACTCATCTTATAAATAACCTCCCGAGTTTGACCTATAAGCTAGTCCAAAAGGTCTCTGATTGAGGCATCTCTCATGTCTGAATCGGCTGCCCACCCTTTAAAAACATCATACGTAAGTCCATTTTTTCCTCTCTTCTTCCCCATCTGTAGACCTGTTTGGCCCAAGGGCTCAGTGATTATTTGGCCATGAACTGATTGGTCCGTTGGGCTTTTTGTGAGGGGACAACTGATCAAGAGCTGACCCAAAACTGTAATATATTTCTAGATCAGCTTCAAGTTTTTAGAAAAAAAAGAGGATTGAAAATTCCTCTTAAGGATATCCACAAGTTGCAGCATGACAATCACCACCATTCTTAATGGCATATTAGCAGAGATCTGCTCATTTTATACCATCCTGTCAACTGGTGATACATTTTCAGTAGTAGAACCCAAAACATTCTTTCTCAAAAGCCTAATCTGTTGATAGCCTATCTGTCTAGTAAATTCATGCTAACTTCCTTTTCTTTGTTTTTAGATGGCTTTGGAGACTCATTTCTGGACTTGGATAAACCATTTTGTTACCTGGGGTTCCATTGTGTTTTATTTTGTATTCTCCTTGTTCTACGGTGGAATTATCTGGTAAGTGTGCAGGCACACCTGTTAATTCTTTATTTAGAAAAAAGACGGTGCAAGCTATGCTGTTTGGGGGTAGGGTGAAAAGAGTATTGTATAAATAAAATTCACACATTTTGTTTGTGGTCCCTGTTGATGTTTCTTTTCGTTAATGAAAAAAAGCAAAGGTCTTAAAAGGGAACTAGCAAGTCCT